GCTTTTTACAAATTTACACACACATTGTAACTCTCAAATCATTCGATTATATTCTTTGTACTCGTCAGAATCATCTTTGTAAATCTTATTCATCAATACAATCATAATTCATTCTCTAAGTTCTTAAGGGATTCAGCCCACGATTGTTTTCTCCCCAATCTTAACCTAACCTAAATTAGAAAGTGAGTTTTATCCCTCACATTTTGGCGCCGTCTGTGGGGACGAGATAATTGAATCCTTCACTCCGTAACTTGAGAATGGATCCATCCAACCAGGCAACGAATCCATCCATCCCGGATCCCGTGATCCAGATCGACGGATCACCGAACAGAAGAGACCCGGACCCTCAGGATCCGGAACCTCAACCCGCTGACCTTCGATCCGAGCAACAGCCTCCGGCTAACGCTCAACCGAACCGAACTGGGATAGCTAACCCAAGGTCTTCCGGTGGAAACAACACCGGGGCTACACTTCCTGAAAACCCTCAACGCCAACACACTTCGCATCATTCGGAAGCTCAACTATCCGAAATGCGCCGAATGATGGTGCAGTTGGTAGAAAGAGCTCAGGATAACGAGCGTACCCTGCAACAGTTAACTGCCTGGCAGCAACGGTTCGAAGAGGTAACTAGATCTCTAACCGAGACGACTCAGCCATCCCAACGCCAAGGCTCGGGAATCGCCTTTCGAGATCGAATCACCGAACCCACGTTCCCTCGTGGACGCCTAGACTTTTCCCCCAACAGCGTTGCTCGTAATGGGCAAGAGCCTGTTCTCCGGACACCCCTCACTGGGACAACCCCAGTATTTAGTCCACCTATAACTAGCGCTATGGGAAGTAACATAGCGACGACCAGTTCAGCACCCAATAGGGTTCACGAACACAGCACCCGATTACCGCCTCCGCCACCTATCTTTAGGTCCGGAGAAGGAATGTCCTCCCCTCCTAGAGGCAGGGCACCGACTTCAGCTTACCAAAATGGAAGCGCGACCCCTAACCGAGACAACCCGAGGACGGAAGCTGACCCCACAGCTCACCCCCCGGGTCACGTCCCTCAAAGTGGCTCTAGAGTTAACGAGCGATTTAGTCCACCTAACGCTTGGGACAACGGCAACACTCGACTCCACCAAGAATCTTTTCATCAGATTCCCCGCGAAGACCCAACTGTCCTTCCTCTAGAAGGACCTGAGGCTATTCGCCGATACATGGAGCAAACTCACGCAGCCCTCTAGAAGCTGAACGCTCAAGTGCATAAAGCAACAAGCTCCGCTCCCGAAATCGAGAGCTTGATTGAGGAAACCCGTGGAACCCCATTCACAGACAAAATCGCTAGCTCTTACATAAGAGATACCCGAAAAATTAGGATTCCCGAATATGACGGGACCTCAGACCCCAAAGCTCATTTGAGAGCCTTCCGCTTAGCTATAGTGAAAGCTCATTTCACGAAAGANGAACCCCATTCACAGACAAAATCGCTAGCTCTTACATAAGAGATACCCGAAAAATTAGGATTCCCGAATATGACGGGACCTCAGACCCCAAAGCTCATTTGAGAGCCTTCCGCTTAGCTATAGTGAAAGCTCATTTCACGAAAGAAGAATGCGAAGCAGGCTACTGTAGGACTTTTGCTGAGAACCTGGTCGGAACAGCTCTCGAATGGTTTTCGAGCCTCGAGCCAAACTCAATCGATAACTTCGATCAGCTCACTAACGCGTTCATGAAACAATACTCGACCCATATCCTTAAACAAGCCTCCGAGGATGACCTCTGGAAGATCAGGCAAGGAATGGGGGATTCGCTACGAATCTACATCGAAAAGTTCAGAGCAGTCAAAACAAAGCTCTCGAACCCCAATGATCAAGTGGCCATTGAAGCCCTTAGAAGAGGTCTCTGGTACAAATCAGAATTCTGGTCTGAACTAACACTTAACCCCCCTCCAACTATCGATGATGCTCTTCACAAAGCATCGAGATATATCACCTTGGAGGAAGAAACAGCTGCACTGGATAAAATCCATAAGAAATCCCAGGATCACCCTAAAGGTGAAACCTCGGAAGCAAAAGGACCCTCTAGAAAAGGGAGCTCTCGGAACCATCAGACCCAGGGAGAACACTCATATGCTGTTGAGGAAGCCCAACATGAAAAACCTGTTGCCGCGACAAGCAAAACTCCCTGGACGAAAGGCTACGATGAGAACAAACACTGCTCTTATCACGATCGAAAAGGGCAC